AACGCCGGGCTCCTTCTCCTGCGGGCGGCGCCCGCGCACACCGCGGATGCCGCCCCCTCTCGGGGCGCTGCGACGTGGGCGACCGGTTGCTCCGACCGGCCGCCCCCTGCCCCACTAGCTACTAGGGAGGAGGAAGGAGGCGGGCATACCCGCGCCTCCTCCGTCCCGTTCGCCGTCTTCGCGTCGGATGCGAGAGGGGATCGTCCTCCCTCTCGCGCTCCGACGCTTCCTTCTGCGACAATCCGGACAGGGACCTACTGCAACCTCGGTGGGTAGGATAAATCTCTATGATGTGTTTCTGAGAAACGTGTAAGTGTGGGAGAGCCATACTTCGGCACTGCTGGGCCGGCTCGACCGGAGTGATACCACGGCCGAGCAGAAAACCGACGTGAACCAACGCTTGCGTTGTGTTTCGTCGTGTGAGTGAGGTTACCGGAGACTCACTTACCCCCCTCACCCTCCCCAACCTCTGAATCCCCGACGATCCTCAAACTCCTAATCCCCAAAAGGCCAGTAACGCACTTGTAACGCCTCTGGCGATCCAGGTGTCCATGGGCGACGCCGATTGCTTGCTTGTGATCTATCTGCTCGTTTACCGGCTTATGGCATAAAAAAATATGCTAGAGAGACAGACAGTACACTCACCAGTTTCCTATACTCATCATGGCGGAGTACAGGCTCGCGGAGGTCGGCAGCGAGGGAGGTGACGCACTCCTCTAACGCGAGGTACGTCGCTGGGATACGCTGCTCTAGGAGAGGCTCCTTACTGCCTGGGGGAGAAATATATTTTATTATTAGTATTTAAAGTAATGGCTAAGTATCTGCGACTTTTCTGGTAGCCATGAGCTACGTTAAAGAAGATCCACTTGCACCGTCATCATCATCATCATCAGCCCATGTTCGTCCAATGCTGGATATAGGCCTATCCAACGACACGCCACTGAGCTCGGCCTTCAGATCCTCTCAATCAACCACTGCCAGCCACCTTGCGGATGTCGTCACTCCACCTAGCTGGACAGCGCCCTACACTACGTTTGCCTAGACGCGGTCTCCACTCCAGAACATGTCAACTACATATTTTGTTTGTACTCCATAACAAAACTAAAGGTTTTATTTGAGGATTTTTGGGGATTTAGGGATTGGAGTGATTGGGGAAAGAGGGGGACGTGATTAGAGAGATAAGGGAGGGTGGAGGGGTGATTGGAGAGATTGTGGAAAGGGGAAATTTGGAAGGGATGATTGGATAGATTGGCGAAAGGGGGTAGAGGTGATTGGATAGTTTGGGCAAAGGGGGAAGGGTTGATTGGATAGATTGGGGAAAGGGAAAGGGGGAAGGGGTGATTGGATAGATTGGGTAAAGGGGGAAGGGGTGATTGGATAGATTGGGGAAAGATGGATGATTGGAGAGATTGGGGAAAGGAGGGGGGACTGTTGATTGGAAAGTTTGGAGAAAGGGAGGGGGCAATTGAGCCTCCTGATGATTATATTAATAAAATTTGAACCTTACCTGGCGGTTTGACGCTGAACGCCACCGAGTAGATAATGTCAGCTAACAGTCTGATGTTGTGACGAGTACTGCAGGATACCTGCAACAAACATACAAACAAATGTACAGAAATACAGGCCGTGGTATCACTCCGGTCGAGAGGGCCCATTCGTGCCGAAGCATGGCTCTTCCACACTTTGTATGACTCACGACTTGTTGGTTTTGAGGGGGAAAATCATCCTATGGATTCTCCCGCCTTGGGTTAGGCGAGCGAGAGTGTCAGACTCTTACTGACTGAAAACTGTAGGAATTTATAAAATAAAGAATATTTGTAGCGTGATTTATAGTTTAATTAGAAAAATTCAGTTTTACAATCGTTCACAAGATGAATAACAAAAGGGGACAACAACGCCATCTATAACTGTCAAAATACAGGAACTAATATGGTTGCGTTCCATTTCCAATAAAAACCACCCCGTTCCTACCCCGGCAACCCGTTAGGTCTCCGTATATGCATCAGTCCTACTGGGCCACATCTGTGGTGGTCTGATGGCTCTTTGTGGCGCGCGGTACTCGACGCGCCGTACGCTCGGGTCTGGCTTCCGTATACCCAACTATGTCTCATGATAGTTATATACATACAAATATATATATACAAATAAGCTTAAAATTAATCTTCAATCATAATGTTTTAACTCACACACGCACGGATTTTTTTCTTCTCCTCTTATAATAATATCTTTTGATTCACTTCGTTGCGGGAACCAAGACAGTTACTCATGTCCCTGGGACGTTGGACTTCAGTGTTCCGGTGTTTGCATGGTTGTATCTACTGTAGATCCTGGTGTACAGGAGTTGGGAGGTTGTGGCGAGATTGTCACACACGCACACACTGCCAAAATATAGACTTACCTCAACAGAATCCAATACCCTGGGTAGTCCAAGTTTGTCAGCATCCGGCGCGCCCATGATGGAGGACCTGATCAGACGCTGGAGGACTTCAGGACTTTCACTCTCAGGTAAATTGCTCTGGAAGGGGAAAAAGGGAAAAATAAAGATTATTTACTGACTGGCTCATTGGAAAGACTCGGCTACCGATGTAGCGTTTCAGTGCCTGTCTACAGAGAGAGAGTAGAAAACTAAATGTATGTGGATGACACTGACAAGTGTCAAAATTTACGTCAATCCCATATAATTTAACTAGCGACCCGTCCAGGCTTTGCACGGGTGCAATATGCATGTTATATACATATAAACCTTCCTAAAGAATCACTAAAATATATCTATTAAAAAAACACCGCATCATAATCCGTTGCGTAGTTTTAAAGATCTAAGCATACATAGGGACAGAGAGCCGGCGGATTTTTTTTTTTAAGGGGGGAACATCATCGAATGACTGCTCCCTGGGTGAGGCGGGAAGGAGTGTCAGACTGTTACTGACTAAAAACCACCCCGTTCCTTCTCCTTCACGTCGAGCCGGAGCCCCGGTTACCCGTTAGGTTCTCCACGACAGACAAACAGCAGATAGCGACTTTGTTTTATACTATGTAGTGATTTTCTACTCTACAAGTAGACAAGCGCTAAAGTGGCGTTTGGCTAAAGGCACAGAAATGCTATATCGTTGCGGCTGCGGCGCAATGTGCTGCGGGTTCGATTCACGCACGGAACAACTCTTGTATCCACAATCCACAGATTGTAGTTCCGTGTCAGTGTGTAATGTGTATGTGAACTTGTATGTTTGTAAACGGACACACGACACAGGAGACAATCCTAGTGTGGGGGCAACATGTTAAAAACACAAGTCCAATATCAGGCTTGTATTATAAAAATGTAACTAATACTGTTAAGGGATACTTACGTTAGCTACTTGATCATAATGTGTAGCTACCATGATGACAGGTGAACCCGGGGCGCGAGCTTGTATTGATCTGGAAATATATGAAAAAAAATATATGGAATTGTAGTTGTGTAGATTCTCTGTAGTAGGAAGTCAGGAATTGTACCCGGCATATAGACTCATCCCCTATTACATGGGACTCATAACTTAAACTCTCGCGGGTGTACGAGAGAGTTGAGTCCCCATCGCGCAATAGGCGTGTCGACAGGGTAAAAAAATCAAAAAAGTAATTAGTCCGTCATTAAGATCGCACGAAAATATCAGACACGTATTTTTTGTTTTATCAAATTAACAGAAGAATACGTAGTTATTCCGCATTAAAGTTAGGGAGTGGGGGGTGTTGACGTCACACTTACGGAGAAATCGTACCTAAGTGTGACGTCACGCGTCATTTTAACTCAAAATATCTACATATTTTTTTGGATACGAGAAAAAAGAAAAAATACGTATCGAAGATTTTTAAAATATCTAAAAGACGGACAAAAAATTAAAAAATAGTCGCCATGCCTATTGTACACACGGGTGTACGAGAAACGCGCACTGATTGGATATTTTTTCTGTGACGTACATTTTCAAGTTGCAACCCGTTCTTTATTTGATTGACCAATAGTTAATTCGCATTTCTATTAAAATAATTACCCGTGTGTACGAGAGGCGCGCGAGGGGTAAATAGTGAAAAGTGTGTGTTACATTGTACAGTGACATTAAGTGCCGTAATGTGCACCTCTGCTTACCCTTTCGTGGATATAAGGGGTGACGTTATGTTAAAAGAAATGACATGTTTATTAACTAAAATCGCGTGTTACTCACGTGAATATACTGAGAAAAGCTCTACTAGTTTCGAACCACAGAGGGGTTCTTCCTCATGAGCATCGTGCGCGGTCGCGGAGATGTCGCGCAGCACAATGAGTAACCCCCGATTTTAGTTAATTTAGTATGTCTCACGATAGTTA